AAAAATTATTAATTTGAAGCAATCTTTATGTTGATGGCCGTATGTATATAAAAAGAAGTGGTTTTAATTTGTTTATTCTTTTGTTTTTTTCATTTTTTTACTCTAGGGAGATCTGGGGGAGAGGGGGCTGGAGTAATCAGGGCTGAAATTCGGCTCATTGAGTTTCAAACTCTTATGTGCCTAAAGGGTTTCGAACTCGAAACCTCTCATTAGGCATGATAACCTCACAATCAAATGAACTGGAATAATATTAGTTTTTCTTTTGTTATTGCTTCTCAAACACCCTAAACTCAAATAATATTAAAATATCATAAATAAAAAATAGGGAAAAGGGGCAAAAGACCCCCTGAAGTTGTCACCAAAAGGCACTTATGCCCTTAAACTTTATTTTTGTGCAAAAAACCTTAAAATCACAAAGAGGAGGGCAATCACCCCCTTCCGTTACTAACGAACGGTGAATCAACTATTAGAGTTGGCAACTACTCCGTACATAGTACTGTACGTAGTACATTAGAAAGTTTGCTCCTTTGGTTTTTATGATTGTTTATAACAAATTAAATTCCAATAGTGTTTGTTTTTTTTTAAATTTCAGCTAGTAATTTATTAAATAAATTAATTTGGAATGTTTTGGTCATGAAATCAGAACAGATTTCATCCGTATTTAAATAAGTGCAACATGCCAACTTTTACGTTATTTACATATTCTACTTTGACTACGCTTTATTTATTACTAGTAATATATTAATAAATAATTTTTTAAACATTTTTTACATTTTTCTTGTTGTAAATTTTCAAATTCTAATTTTTATTTTTATTTTTTTACTAATAGAGAATACTACTCGCTCCGTCCCTAAATTATCTTTCAAATTTCTTTTTTCGTCCGTCTCAATTTTCTTTTTCTTTTTTGGTAAAGTATTTATGGTTCACAATATTTTTTTACACAATGTCACATGCTTATCTCTCTTCGGTACAACTTTCCAATATACAATTTTCACTATATCTTAATTCCCGTGCAAAACTCACTTTGTAAAATAATTTAGGGATGGAGACATGGAGTGAGTCAAGGACGGATCCATGATTTCGGGCTAAATTTTTATCGTTGGTGTAGCAGGGAAAGTATTTTTCCTAGTGTTGGATGGGGGATGGCTTGTGCAGGGCTCTGCGACTAGTTTTTATTTTGAAAAATCCATTGGTACATACATGACATCTAAATCTATTACTTTGTAATGAGTTTTAAGCCTATGTGTTGTTATATTGTTTGTTTTTCAAGTAACGATAAATTATTTTAGATGTTTCTCCTTTTAGATCCCCTGTTAAGTACTACGTATTACATTATGTAACACTATATATTAATTTTGAAAAGTCAAAGTCAATTAATGGGGACGAACACATATATATGTAATTAAAATATGAAATTTATGACAATATTATATATACAATATAAAATCACACCGATATACATCCCTGAAGGGAGTATACATTCGTGATTCGAAAACACACCGATATAGCAGTCAGATGCGGTTGTGCTACCACCTGTGAACCAAGAAAAATCATACATAGTATTGTGTCTCAGTTTGATTTGATTCGGTTTGGATTTGTGATTTTTTAAAATCATAATTTTATTGAACATTTTAGTTCGGTTCATTTTTATTCCGTTTTTAAGAATATATTAAGAATTTAGTGAAAATTCCTTACACATCACTGGTGCTATCATGTTCGTTAATGAGATACCTTGGGTTGAGCCAATCTATCTAGCACAAGTTTTCTCCCCTTCTAGATAAATATACTTCCTTATTCGTGCATTTGATTTTGTTCAAGTGACTTTTAGAGTCCGTTTGGTAATACACAAATTGGTTGTATTGACTGGTCATGCTAATTTATGAGAAAAAAAACTACATCCAAAATATATTTTATTAATAAAATATAGAAAAAATTAGTAATTTGAAAAAAGAACTAAAATGATCATCTACAATAACTTCAACCAATTCAATCAAAAAGTAACTTCAACTTCATTTTTTCTTATTCTTACACAATTCAGTGTGCACAATTAAAGTTACGTGTTTGGTGAAAAAATTGACTGATAAGTTTGATAGAACGAAAAATAGAACCACCAAACGAGCACTTAGTCCTTAATAAGTCAATTAGCAAATTATTCTCTATTAGTAAAAATCAGAATTTGAAAATTTACAATGAGAAAAATGTAAAAAATGTTTAAAAAATAATTCATTAATATATTAATAAAAAACGCAATCAAAGTAGAGTATGTGAATAGTGTAAAAGTTGACATGTTACATTGCACTTATTTAAAAACAGATGAAATCCATTCTGATTTAATGAGCAAAATATTCTAGATTTATTTATTTAATAGATCACAAGCTGAAATTTAAAAAAAAAATCAAAGACACTATCGGAATTTAATTTGTTATAAACGATCATAGAGCAAACTTTTTAACTACGTACAGTACTATGTACTCCGTAGGTGCCAACTATGTTAGTTGGTTCACCATTAGTTAGTAACGAAAAGGGGTGATTGCCCTCTTGTTTGTGATTTTAAAGTTTTTTGCACAAAAATAAAGTTTAAGGGCATAAGTCCTCTTTAGTGACAACTTCAGGGGCTTTTTTGCTCCTTTTCCCTAAAAAATACGTTCATTAATAATCCTAATTCCTAAGTTGCAAACTTTCAGTTTCCTATAGGTAGTTGAAAACTTGTAGAAAAACTTGTTCTCGAAACAGCAAAACGTTCCTAGCATGCTCCAATTCTTAAAGGCAATTAAATCTTCTAAAAAATAAAAGGTGGTGTGTAGGTCCATCAACAACCTGCACTGTACAAGTAAGAATTGTTGACGAAAAAGAGAACAAATAAGTTGTTGCAAATATAATGCTTAGCTTTAATGCACGAGTTTTTGTCCCGCAATGGGAATTATTGTGTATTGATACATACTTCGTATAAGCTAATGGATTCCATATTAATTTGTGAAGTCGACATTTTTTTATCTTAAAATTAAATCCCATATATATGATTAAATCAATTTTAATATCTAAAATTTAAATATTCGGAATATACAAATTAGAATATACAATTAATCAAGTCAATCCTCAACTGCTAAAAAATCAATTCATAGCTCAAAATGTTTTTTTTTTCTTTGATATTTTTGGTAAACGAGGTACAATTGCTATCAGGTAGTTAACTGTGAGTATACAAGTGTGACAATTTTAATGTAACTCCCTCTTTACAATTCGCCTTGAAAGTAGGGATGGAGCCGCGCCGGGCCGGTTCCGGTTCGGGCCTGGGCCCGGCCGGGCTTTTTCTCTGGGGAGGGAGAACTGGAACCGGCCCGGGTAGGCAGCGGTTCCGGGTCGGGCCGGGCCGGCTCCGGTTCAATGTTATTTTTTTTATTTTCTTTTGCTTTTGTAATTAACCCCCGTTCACTCCCCACCCACCCCCACCCCCCCAAAACACCCAACCCGGCAGAAACAAAAAAAATTGAAAAACAAAAAAAATTGGCCCGAACCAGGCCCGAACTGGCGGTACGGGCCGTTTCCGGGCCGGGCGGCCCGAGTCCACCCCTACTTGAAAGTTGAAATATACTACCTCCGTCCCAGGGAGAAGTTCCCAATTTCCTTTTTTGGCAGTCCCAACAAAAAGTTCCCATTTCCTTAAATGGAAAGTTATTCTACATAAAAACAGTGTCAAACAGTGCCAAACAGTGCAAAACAGTGCCAAACAATGTCGAAACAGTGCCAAACAGTGTCAAAACAGTGCCAAACAGTAAAATTTACCCCTCAGTAACTTTATTTCCTTAATATGTGTGAAAGTCAACCCGGGAACTTCTCCCTGGGACGGAGGGAGTATATTTTTAGTTAACTTTTTTTGTCAAGATTTCTGAATCCCATGTTAACAACAGTCATCACTTTTTATACCCTGCTCATAGCAAAACTCGCTGTTAAACTTCGCACACATGTGGCCAACTGTCTTTACAATTTCTATATGGGAAAATTCCTTTAAAAAGAGTAAAAAACTTTTAAAATTTCTCATGTTTTATTCCTAAATAAGAGTAGTTTTGTGTCAAGTTTGGCACTACCAGGCTTTAAACGTGACAGTTTTTCAAAACTTGGCTGAAATTACTTCTATTTAAAGAATAAAAACATAAAGAACTTATTCTGAAATTTCAAAACGTTTTTATTCCTCTTCAGGGCAATTTCTATTTCTAAAGTTAAGTATATTTTTGTCACCTTTAAGTTTACATCATCTCCAAACAGAGAATCTATGAAAACCCAAAAACATTGTGTTTAAAGGTTGTGTACTTGCAACTCTCACAAAAAATGGCTATGGAATAACCTCTAAGAGTCTAACATGCTATTTTCATGAACTTATTTCACTATTAAAAAAATCATATTCATACAATTCAAAACTTAAACAAACCAAATGGAACCAGGTCACATCACACCTAACTAAAACACCCTATTAAACAGGTGAAATGGAGACTCGAAAAACAAGTCCTACATATACTGATATACCCCACGTTGTTCAAATGCCAATCTGTGGCCTAGTCATGGACCCGGTTCGGGCCGCCCGGCCCGGGACCAGCCCGGCCCGCTACTGTGCGGAACCGGAACCGGCCCGGTTCTCGGGTCCGAGCTCAGGCCTTGTATTTGGCGAACCGGCCCGGCCGGGTCGGGCCCAGCTCCGGGCCGAATTGATTTTTTTTTTATTTTTTTTTCATTTTTTGGGGTTACCCGGGTTGGGCTTGATGGTTAGGAGGGGTTTGGGGGTTTGGGGGGATGGGGGTGAGGGGGGTTAGGAAAGCAAAAAAAAATGACCAAACCGAAGGCCCGGCCCGCCCGGACCCGGACCGGACCCGGTGGCTACCCGGGCCGGTCCCGGGCCTTCCTTCCCAAAAAAAAAGTCCGGCCGGGCCCGGCCCGGGTCCATGACTACTGCGGCCACATGCTCAAATTCTCAAAATATCAATAAGCTATAAACTATTATGACTCATGAATAGACATCACAGGGGTTGGAGTTGGATCAACCATGAAAATCCATTCATGAAATAAATTGATGACAAGAATTATTGCAATGTCCTACATATCAACCGTAGTACTTAACCCCACGTGTGTTAAATGTTTCCACCGACAGATTCTTCTTACAAAAGAATATACCAAATAAACTAAAAAGAAGAAAGAATCCAAAGGAAGCACATTCCAAGACTGAAGATGGCCATACACACAAAAATGCAGTCATAAACAAAACGGCAATGCGGCTGGCCTCCTCAAAGGGTGGTTTGCAAACACGGTTTTCGCCTCTCCATTGTTTCCCTCACAGGCTTCATATATGCATGATCTACCAAACTCGACCGTCTGTGCACGAACTATATATATCGATTATACGCGTATATTTTGTTCTATTCGACCTGCTCACCGATCAAGTCCAACCCGACGAGTAGAAACGATATCCCTTGAAATAGCAGGAAGTAAAAGTGGATACCCTGGGCAGACATGAGGCTCCTAGCTGCAGCGGTCAAAAGAAGGAAAGCGAGTGCTAACTCTTTCGTGTATATCCGATTATGTTTCTTCTTCCGAGAAGACACGATCTGTTCCTTCTGCTTCATTTCCTCCCGCAGTTCAACTAAATCGGGCACCGAACCACCTCTCTGGAGTTTTTGTTTTTGCTCGACCATCGAGGCAAGGTCGCCCTCAGATGACCGACCAGTTTTTTTAGTCACGACCCACTCATACGCACTTCCGAGTTGGAACAGTCCGGATACCATGGCGTTGAACTTGGTGACTGACATTGTGTTCTCAAAGAGAAGGTATGGCACAATGAAAGGGAAAGATTTTGGGGCGGGAAGTATGTTGAGAAATGACATGGTGGCTGGGATGTAGCAGACGATCCATGAGGGGAGTGTTGCCTCTGGAATGAACATTGTCATTGGAAGAATAATGCAGAAAAGAGTGAATGAATAGAATGGTAGTATCAACTTCCTCAATAGGAAGAATAAGAATATCAGATTTGATTTCTTCCATATGCTGATCTGCATAAACCGAGTAAAGTTCAGGTTAGCTAATTGCATGATGTCCACCTAAATGTAACTCAGGTAAATAATGAATCTGTTTGGCAAGTAGTAAATCTACAACTGGATTTGTTGTAATTGTGGAAAATATTGCTTAAGTGGCTAATTATCATTAATTAAAAAAATAAGTCCATTTGGTAAAACTAAAACCGGTTTGATATGATGCTGAAATTGTTAAAGACGTGCCAGCCATTACTGAATCTATTGAATTGTGAAAGAATAATTTAAAATGGTCCTCTTCAAAAAATTCCGCCCAAAACATATGACCTCAATTTTTTAGCTAATAACCTATTCCTCACATGAAAACTCAAAAAAGTAGTGTTTGGTAAACAAATGTTCGTAAGAAAATGGTTGACAAGTCTGATCAGGCAAAAAAACAAGGTTAAAAACCAGCACTCATACAGTCTCTAAAAATCAGAGAACTGACATTTCTTTTCAATTTCATTTAAGATCTTTTAGCCAGAAAATTTACAAACAAAAACCTTAACACTATTTTTTCATTGTCAACGGATTCAACAAGATAATGCAGTCAAATAAGTTTGCGTTTAGAAGAAAACCTAACCAATACGGGTAATAAGATAGTGTTTGCTCTGCATTACTTACCTTTGATTTAATGATAGCAGGCAAACAGAGACGAAACAACTGCATCGGTCCGGAATGCCATCTATGTTGTTGTTTCCTATATGCTTCATAAGATTCGGGCAGCTCACATTGACACTGAAAATTCAAGAAACTATATGTTAGCTTCCGAAACCATATTACTTGAGTCAATATAAGCAAGATAATAGACGTCCGCCTATGAATACCTCTACATCATTGAGAAAGATAAACTTCCATCCATGAAGGTGGGCTCGGACAGCAATATCCATATCCTCAACCGTCGTTCTTTCCAACCACCCACCAGACTCCTCCAATGCTTTTATTCTCCACACTCCGGCAGTCCCATTAAACCCGAAAAAGTTCAGGTAAATCCCATTCACTTGCTGTTCGACTTCAAAATGGAAAGCTAAATTAATGAGCTGCAACCTCGTTAGTAGATTCTCATCCTTGTTCACAAAGGACCATCTTGCCTGAACCAACCCTAGCTCGTCGTTGTCCTACAACAGAAAGTGAATGAATGATCAACCGAGAACGTGTTCATACTCTTATTCAAATAACACGACTTAATTCTAGAAACAGTCAATTGTGTTTATTGAATTGAGGATTGAGTTGGAGTCACTCGACTAGGCTATAAAACAATTAGGGTAAAGCAGACTAAAAGATTTATATCAATCTCTTTGCTAGTTTAACCCCAAGTCTTATTAACTCATCATTCTATTCTCACTTTGATTTTGCTCTCTAACATTCAAAAGGAGAAAGAAAAAATACCTTGAAATATGGAACAGTTTTTTTTAGAAAATCTGGAGTTGGCTGAAAATCAGCATCAAATATGGCAACAAATTCATAGTCCTTGACATAGCTGCAATTCATGGCAGACTTAAGATTACCAGCTTTATATCCCTCTCTGATCACTCTATGCCTGTACACAATGTTTGCTCCTTCCTTCTGCCATTTATGAACCTCATCTTTAATCAAAGATTGAGCTATGATATCATCGGAATCATCAAGAATTTGAATCAAAACTTTGGATTTAGGCCAATCTAAGTTACAAACAGCAGCTATTGATTGTTGGTAAACCTGACAACAAGAACAAAACTTCTATTAATTTTTTTTTAAAAAGGTAAGAACTTTAAGAATATTAAGATTTTGAAGAATAAAAAGGACAGAAAAAGAAACATTTGAGATTAATAACTTCTCCTACCTCTGTTTCATTGCACATGGGGATCTGAACAAGAACCATAGGGAAATAACCGCCCAACCCTTCACCCGCCTCCTCCAGATCTGAAGGACCTTCTTTGAGAATTGGTTTGATCTTCTTAAACCGGATCCAGAAACAACCCAAACAGAGAACTAATCTATCTAAACTCTGGATAATGAAGAGGACAATGCAGAAGTTGGCCATGAATTGCAGAGGAGGTGCAAGATATTGCACCCTAATCAACACCCACTTGGAATAAATCCAATCAAACACGCCCTGAACGGCAAAGGGACCAGTCAAAGTGTAGAGATACTGTATTTGAAGATCCGAAGCATCGAAATGCCAGCCTTTAGAATATGCGACAATCTCAAACCCTAGCAACAGTACAGACAGCCAAAGAAAGACCTTTATACATGAAAAGAACCTGTTCTTCACAGCCGGGTTCTCGGCTGAGCTGGTGTCGGTGGAGTCGGTCCTCCCGGAGGAGACGCGGCGGCGCACGACGGAAGCGGTGCTGAGAAATGCGGAGGCAATGGAGGTGAGGCAGCCGGCGGCCTTGTGCGCCTTGAGAAGAAGCACCCAGGTCAGCTGTTTCGCGTTCTTGTTCCTGACCTTCTCCCGCCGGTAGTGGGCGGCGGCGGGCATTGAGAGATTAGACCCACCACTGCCACCGCCATCATCCGGGTACAGAAAATCTTCCTCAGATGGACCTTCTATCTCCACCATTGACCAATTATTCGGATTCTCCATCTTCACAACCACAGGGGTTCCCATGTGGCTCTCCTTAGCCCACCACCCGAAGGGGGCCATTGGGGGATTAGCCTAAAGTAATATCCCCTTCCAAGATTCAATCTTTTTTGCTCAAACCCCAGAAAGATGAACACCCAGTACGTAATACTGATTTCTATATCGACGCCATTTGAGAGACAGAAGAACAAGCAGCTAAAGACTAAAGAAATGCAAGAAAAAGGTCAGATTTAAGATATAAGCGAAACTGTGGAACTGCAGGGTGATATAGTACAAAAGAATTAGCTCTCAGCCACCGGTGCAAAGAATGAGGTGGTGAGAGTGACGGCGGCGATGGAGGAAAATGGAAATCTACGTTTCAAGCTCAGTCTCATAAAAAGGGGTGTTACTCCTCCTCCACCTCCTTTGTATAGGTAGATATATATGTATGGGGCTTATTCAGTTATTACTATTATAAGGCTTGTGGAAGGGCGTATATTCGATTATTAGTACTTCGAGAATTATTACAAAATAATCGAGTGTTACAAAATGCAGAAACTTAGAAGTTACTCGTGTTGGAATAGATGTTACACAGCCCAGCAAGAATTTTTACTTCGAGAATTGTGTTAGTTGTCCAAAAAGTCCTACAATTTGTGGTGAGGTTGTAATTTTTGTTCGAACTTTTTAATTGTTCTAAAATATGATTTACACTAACGTAAGTCCAACTAAAAGTTTGAGTTCTTATTTTTTACGGAACCTAAAAGTTTGTTCAAACATTAAACCATTCCAAATTACAAATAATTACATATTTAATGAGACTTGATTAACTCGGATCTAAAAGTAGATCAGGTTAAAAATTAAGTTCAAGGATGATTTTAATTTGACTGAAGTTTATTGGTTTGATCTAGTCTGTTTAAGTCTAGTCTAGTTTGAACTGATTTGGTGTGGTAAATATCTAGTTTCAGTGTACTTTATAACTATGGAAATCTGGTCTGATCTGGTCTGTTTAATCATTGTTTGGTCTGGTCTGGTCTGTTTAATCATTGTCTGGTCTGATCTGTTTAAGTCTTGTTCCGATCTGGTCTGTTTAAATTCAATCTGATATGGTCTAGTCTCACCCTAAAAACAAGCCAAGTACAAACATTCTAAGTGAAAACATCTAAAATTGTATGGGTTTAATGCACCAAAGCTGCTCGTGAAATATAAATTCGGCACATTAGTCTTCTGTGATTTAAAAAATGCGTCTAATCTTCCTGTGTTATGGGTATTCTTGCGCAAAAGCCCTTCTATGCACAAATTTAATTGCCCAAAAAATAAAAATGATTAGTTGTTTGGTATGATTTAGAAATTTTGATAAATTTACTATCATATTCAATCATATTATTAAGAAAATTGGTTTCAAAATTGTAAAATTTGTTTTGGAAGGGGTTTTGCGCATGAATAATCATAAAACAGAGAGTTTGACGCATTTTATAAATCACGGGAGGCTAATGTGCCAAATTTTTATTTCTCGAGAGGGTTTGGTGCAATAAACCCAAAATTGTATCTATTAAATGATTCTTTGGCAATGCTAAATAAATTTTTCATATTTCATACTATGGGAACGCATTAATTTAAATAATTTTATTAGTTGCTACGTACTCCCTCTGTCCCACTAACAGAGGTACAAGAGGGAGTGACATGTATACCAACAAAAATAAGACAATTTTATTACATTGATAAAGTAAGAATACAGTAAGAATCATTTAGAATCACACAAATTTCACTAAATTTGGTATGGGACAATATTAATGGGACGAATCAAAAAAGAAAAATAAGACAATCTTAGTGAGACGGAGAGAGTATTATTTATTAATTTAAAAATTGGAAAAATATCATTGACTTCCACTGGAGTTGGATATACTATCACTTGTGCACTATAAAAAAATGTTTTTACCCTCTTCCATATCCTTTTATGAGGGGGTTTTAAAGTCTTTAATAAGGGTAAAAAACTTTTAATCTACGTTTAAAAAAGGATTATATATAACCTGTTTTGTAAAATTGAGATTGGTTGAATCAGACGAATCTATTAAAATTGATGACATAAGCGGGTGAATGGACTGACTGCTGAAATATGAAGAAAAAAATATTTAAAATATATTTAGATAATAGAATAAAGAAAGATATAGTAAGAAATAGTTGAATGGTCTTCTACAACAAATTGAGTTCATTCGATTATTGCACATTTCTATGCGCGGAATGAAAAATTAAGTATTTGGCAACTAAGTTAACTGAAAAGGTTGATAACCTGAAAATAATATTACTAAGATGCTCATAGTCCTGTTAGTATTGGTTGTTTTCAGTAAAACTGTAACATTACGCAATTGTAAATAGAGTCTAGCTTGTAACTAATAAAAATTGAACCAGATAAAACAAAAAAAATGACAAAAACTGACTCAGTTTTAAGTGGTTCCATTTATGACTTTGAATTTGAAAATTGATTCAATTGATAAAAGTCAACCAAAACATCCTAAAATTGACCACTTGGTAAAATTTTGGGAATCTTATTTTTCTCTTTGGTTCCATACTAGAAGAATAAATAGAAATCAATTATGCATCCATTCTTTTTCATTTATGGATTATCTTTCAAGTATTATAGTAATTCCTTCAATAATACGAAGTCAAATGTTCAAGAATTCATTTTTAATAAAAAATGTTACTATATATTCATCAATTTGATACTGTTGTTCCAATCATTCTTATCCTTAGATCCCTAGTTAAAGCTATATTTTGTGATGTATTTGAGAATTCTATTAGTAAACCGGGTTGGATCGACCTCTCAGAGTTTATGAAAATGTTTCGACGGATATGCCGAAATTTTATTCATTATTATAGCGGTTCTTCTAAACGGATTCAAGTAGTACACTTCTTGAACATCCCACTAGTGACGAATAATGATTGTTCTTAAATTTCCAAGCTTCAAGATCGATATAAATCTTTGCTAGACGCCAAGACGTGACACATTTCACTTGGAGGCATGCATGCTAAGCTTAAAGAGTTAAAGGAGTGCCTTTCTTCTTTGAGGAACTAGGAACCCTAAAGGATGAGTACAATAATCAAGACCTGCACTCGGACAAAACTACAAATTCTCTTATTATATTCACAAGAGAAAGTTCTACTGTTTAAGATTTGATGACAATTTTGCTTATATTTTATTTGCTTCTAGATACAAATAGAAAGTATTTCAAAGACATCGCACGTTATGCTACATTCTTTGCTGCATGCGCTCTTCATTCCATCTTATCTACTTAACGTACCTTATGGAGAAATATTAAAGTATAATACTTCGTATATTAATATGCATGCTAATAAGAAATATTAGGCCAATCAATTGCTATTAGATAAAACAAAATTGGAGGGATATATGTAGGGCTGGGAAAAAACTCCCGACTCCCGATCCCGATCCCGACGATCCCGATAATCCCGATCCTGACAATCCCGATCTCGACTAGTCGGGAATTTTTCCCGATCCCGACTAAGTCGGGACGGGACCGGGATTTTTTTTAAAAAAAAGTCGGGATCGGGAAAGTCCCGACATCCCGACACTATATATACACACACACACACACATGTATATAATTATATATGAATATATAAAAAATGAATATAAATTTATAAAAAATGAATATGTATCTAAATATTTGCATATCTTTTTTAATTACTTATTCCTTACATAGATTAATTTTTTACTACGAGTATCTTACAATATCAATCTTCTAAAACTATTCGGCATTTGTCCGAAAATGAATATTCGGGATCCTAACTAAATAGAGATTATTCTTGATCCCGACAATCAAAATCACAACAACATTACAAATTTTGCGGTTCTGATGAACTCTTTAAAATGATCGAGACTAAGATTTCTTAAATAATCATAATATGTATTTATACATTATATTCATTGGTCACAAAGTTTCTCAATGAGTCTACTTAGTTTTGAATTTTAAATAATATACGTTACACATCCTTCTTTTAGTGATTTTTATAAAATGTTTGAAGTAAGTTTCACTAAGCCTTGATAGCTTAGTAAAAAATTATACTATTAATTAATTGAAGTTACAAATAAAATTTATTCTAAAAGTATGTACTAATGTGAATTTGAGACAATAATTATTACAATAAACTTTATAAGTATATGATGATAAATATGGTATAACCATGAACAAAGAATAATTTTGAAACCGCTAAATATCAAAGTTAGTGTTTAACTAAAGAAATTACATAATTTTATGTTTGACGCTTCATTGTTGGGATTAAGCGGGATTAAGAGGGATTCCCGATCGGGATCCCGACTTAATCGGGATTTTAATGTCGGGATCCCGACTTAATTGGGACGGGATACGGGATCCTCTTGTAGTTTGAATCGGGATCGGGATTTGGGCAATCGGGATCATCCCAATCCCACCCCTAGATATATGTGTACAATAACGATGTTTTTACTTAGACTGTTTTCATCCCAAAACAGATCAGACTTGGTACTTGGACAATTATAAAATACACAGAGATCGGACATTTATCATACCAGTTCAGAATAAAAACATCCTAATAATCGAACCGACCGGTCCCGTTTTTTGAAATTTTTGACACTTTTAACCCTCCCCACCCATTTCAGCGTTTAAATGGGTTTAGACCTCTATTAAAATTCTTCCTAGTGGTTGAAATGCAAAAAAAAGTATCGGAAGTTTGGAACTAGCCGGTCCCAATCCAAAAAAAATGAAGGCCAGACCGGGATCTTCTGTGATGATCTGGTCTCGGTCGTGGCCCGGAACCGCTAATTTCAGTCCCAATCTGGTCCCAAGAATTGACCGGTCTCGGTCCAATAGGGACCGTGTCCAGTTGTCCACCCTAAGACAATATCGTCTATATCACAAGTGCACATGTGATAGACATTATGACCCGAATACCTACTAGACTACTAGTGATGAGGCTGGAGATGAAGCCCATTGTTGCCGTGAGCCTTTTGGGTTAGTCAATATCGGTGTTTGCACATCACTTACATCACCTGTTTGGAACCGATCTAGATTCGTAATACCCGGGCATTTTGGACCCGGGGCCAAATTATTCTATGGTTGTCTCGTAATCTAAATGGGTACAGTTCTAGTTTAATAAGACCTTATTTGGTAGCTCTTGATTTATCAACCAATTTTGTGACCAAAAACTGATCTTTCCTTTTTTTTAAATACCGAAACTCACTCCATTGAGTTTCGAACCCTTATGTGCCTAGTGGGTTTCGAACTTGAGACCTCTCACTAGGCACAGTAACCTCACAACCAGTTGGACTGGAATGTTTGGTTAAAACTGATATTTTCCTTTTTATACATTGCTTTGTGTAATAAAAGAATAATTGAAGTTAAACATACTTTTTCAAGAGATTTACATTGCTTTGTGTAATAAAAGAATAATTGAAGTTAAACATACTTTTTCAAGAGATTTGTTGAAGATAATTATTATGACTTTTTTCAAGAGATTTTCAACTTTAATTTCAGCAATTTCAATTTCAACGTCAACAAACTACCTCCTAATCATTACTACGTATATCTTAATTAGTGTTAGGGAGTATCATATATTCTTTCCGGGTCAAAAAAAATCATACGGAGTATATTCTTTCCAAACGGTAATATTTTAATAATACATGTAGCAATGTGGCATCATCTCTGGTGATAATAATAAAATAATGGAGGCTAGGTAGGAAAAGTGCCAGTGTCATCCATTAAGGCATGCCACATTAGTCCCTCCCATTTCAATTGCATGCATTCTCTGAACAATTCCATTCTATCCTAAACAAAGTGCCTCAGCCTCACCCACTGTCAGACTCATCCTGATCACATATGTCGATTCAGAACATAAATAAATGTGGGAGGTTAGGTTACAACAATCCAACAAAAAGTAAGCCTTGTTCTGTGTCCAGAGCACAGTTGACAGACATCAACTCAATACCTTAGACCCACTGATATAAATTAGCAAGTGATAAAGATTTTCAGTTCATATTTCATGTCATAAAAACCCACTTGTCATTGCTTGATTGTCACATAGGATGATAGGAATCACCATTCCATTACACTAAAACCACTAGAAGTCTAGAACCCCTAGGAGAGTCCCTATTTTACTTGGTCTAGTAGTTCCCAACTGCAGAAAATGTAAACTAAAAAAGTACAAAATAAAAAATATAAATATAAAATTAAAACATGACTGAGTAATATTTTGTACATACAATAATGTAAAACTTCAATTACAAACAATGTGGCATTGTCTGTCTGCATTTTCTCTACAATAATATCTCCCTTCATGTACTGAGAAACAGAACACAACAACAAGAAACTCAAATCCACTGTAGTGACTCAAGTGCATGTATAAATATACATAACGATATTACACTGAAAACTTTGGAATTCTAAGACAGTATTCTCCCACAAATGTGGCTAAAAGCTTTTGTAATTGAATCCTAAATAGTAAATATCATGGTCTATAAATGAAAAGTGTGTTGTCTTACTTTGATAAGTTAAATGTAGTTATAGTTAAGTACCAGTGAGGACTAAGGAAGCTATATATAAATCAATGAAGAGCTGAGTTTTCTGAGTCAAAGCGCCTTTACTGTTTGCCATCTCAACTCGTTTCAAGTCCCATCACTAATAAAAATGTTGTACAAGTCGCTGCAGATGGCAACGGTGCTTGAGAACACGGCTATAAGTATCATGACCCAAGCCATTAGCTTGTCGTTCTTGGTTGCAATTCCATGAGGATCCCTGCTCAACAGTGGTTATACAAAATGAAGTTAAGTAGATCAAAGAATGTTTCAGAAGTGTATGTCAATGCCTGAATGGTATGAAAATGATCAGTTTACACTTATAAGAGAGTGCATACAATTGTACATAGTAGTTCTTAAGAACTGTGACAGTTGAATATTTAAAAGTTTAAACCGTTTGAGATCAGATCACTTCCAGATTTTTGGATGTATAATAAGTGGAACACATTTGTGCCTGGTAATAACACCTATTCCATTATATTTAAGTTCTTGTTTCAATTTTAGCACATGATAAAATTAAATCTCCTCTTATAATTAAATTAGTACTACTGATTAAAACTTATAACTAGAAACAATACGGAAAGTCTTATTGAACAACAAAATCAAATGTGATAACTGTTGGCTGTATAAAACTATAAATTAAAAGTGAATTAATTTAGTTATTCTGGAGACAGAGATAGAGTACTATTTTAGTTCTTCAGCCTTACTGGCCCAGATTTTACTGCAACACTAACTTCATACATTGCATCAGCATAACAGGTATACATTTAAATCCTTTTTATGCTTGCTGAGATGAATAGAAATGACACTTATTATGCCCTCATCATTTATATAGACTTCCCTTAGTTCCTAAATAAACATGCTTGACAAGGCACTGACATAGAGAAAAAAACTGTGTGATTGAAATATATTGAGATGAGAAAGAAAAGATATGAACTACAAAATGCTTTATTTAATAAGGAAATAGGGGATGATATTGACACAGGCGAATGAACAAACCATGTGGATATTTTCAGGACATAGAAAGTATTATTGTTTCATTTAATTTATATTACTTTCAGAGACTTCCAACCATTCCCAATTTGCCATTTCTTTGATTTCAATAAAAGTTTACCATCGGCAAACAGGAAAAGTAAAATTTCTACTACAATGATTTGCATTGAGGTTTAGGAAAGGATAAAAGTAATAAAATACAGCAAAAGCTATAACTAATGCAAGAGAAACTTCAAAATGGGTTACTGTGAGAGAAAATTAGTACTCACCTAAGGGCAATGGCAGCTGGAAAAATGAAGCCAACAGTGACAGTAGCAGTGGCACCTGTAAATTGAAAAGCATCCCAAATGCTCGGCACACAATTTGCTCCCAAGAATATGAAACACATGAGAGCTGTCGTGAGAGTAAAGAATCTCCGGTTGTCAAATGCAATAGGAATCGAATACGGGAACAGAAGTCCATCAACGTTGAGACGGAGGGAAAAGAAGACAATTGGAAACACAAGCATCAAGTGAATTACATAGCTTACTCTCACCACATCATCAAGCATTGAGCTGAAAGGGATCTTAAGATCTCCATCAAAGTTGGCAAGCACATCATCCAGTGTATGATCACCAAAGAGAAGGAATCCAAAAAAGCTAGTTGCTATGTAGACACAGGTACAAAATGTAATTGATGTGTGAACTATTGACTTCATCTGGTTCGGATCTTTTAGTTCATTCTCAATAGGATGGACTGCAGTAATAATAATTAAATTAGGCAGGTAATATAGATTCGTAATATCCTATGCACAAAAACTTGCTGAAAATCACACATTTCCCAAGATAATATAAAGATAACAAATAGCTAAATAAATTGGGGAATAGGAGAATCGTTTATCAGAAAAGCTTCTTCAGTGTTTAATTGCTATTGATAAAACATTTTGTGCACATACTAAACTGCTAAAGATTTTATTGCAGCAAAAAGAAGTCCCTAAAAATGCCAAAAGGTTAAGTCACAAAATTTTCCTTATGGGAAGAAATATGTTAGTCATCTATATAATAAACCTTAGGAATTTTAAACTTACAGAGATAGATATCTATAAATTGGAAAGGCGTAAATTTAATACAAATGTTAAAAGTGGAAATAATATTACTCCAGATCTAAAATGTTTTATTAACAAGTCCTTTACATAACATATATATTTTCTTTTAAAATAAATCATATTCATCTTCTTTGGGGAAAGGAGATGCAGAACTGCCAAATCTAAAATAATACATCCAACCGTTTCACCACATATTCATCTTCTTTGGGGAAAGGAGATGCAGAACTGCCAAATCTAAAAGAGTACATCCAACCGTTTCACCACAACACCACAGGAACCTCATCAATGACTTCTGATATATGATGACAAACACCAAGAAATTTAGAAAATATATCCTCTTTCAGTTCATAGAAGGGTGGGGGCTGAAATCAAGAACTGTGGAAAAAGGGACAGAGATCTGAGGAAGGACAATGGACACAAAAGCTCCTCGGCTTGAAATAGGCGAAATGTATAAATCTGCCAATGAACATTTTGTGATACACGCCTAGGTATTTTTTATTCACCAGACAATGAATCATAAGTTGAGCTTAGGCCAATTTCTTTCAATAGAGGTTGAAATTTCATGTGCATATTCCATTTACTGCACTGCTCAAGTGATGCTGCCTTTGAATGCGCATTTTAGGCAGAATTTCATCATCAGGTAACCTTTGTAAGGCAGCGCTATGCACACTTCAGATAGAGGGATGATGGAGATGTGTTATTTTTCAAGTACATGGTAAACAGTGATGGTTGAGACTTGAGAGTGTTGATACAAAGGGAGCAGGGAGCCACAAGTTTGAATAGGATTCGTACTAAGCTTGCAGTGTTATCTTATTGCTTTATTAGATTATTAGTTACCGTTATAAGTTATTTTATAACACTGGTTCTGTTGACGGCATCATGAGCAATCCTCTTTCAATTGACCCTGAATTTAAGCTTCTCTGATGCAGTAGTCAAAATCGAGTAGCTGCTGACAGCATTCATACGAAATAAATATCCCCTAGCATTTCATCCATCGTTGGCCGTCCACCACACGATATGAGCTACCAAACTACTACAAACTGTAAACACCTCACCACTACATTAACAGCTGGCAACTTCAGCACCCAATACACATGACACTCGTATTCTACAAAACCATCAAAATACCCCTTGCACTAAACTAGATTCTCTCTCTCTCTTTCAATGGTAAATTGTAACTATGATCCTCTAATTTGGCTACATCATTGGGAACTTTTTTTACAGGGGTCACACTCCAAACAGTAACCAAGTTGGTGTCAGCCAGTCAAATGATGGGGGAAGCAGAGTGCTGGTACTTCCTATTGCCCTATTGATTCAGGAGGAATCCCCGAAGTGACAAGGGATCTCTTCAAAGAAAGTTTGTAAACTCCGCGTTAGACCTCCGTGGCAGCAATGTAATCATGGACCACACAATCAGAGAGAAATCATCATCAAAGGGATGGGTGGTCAACGGGTAGATTATTCACCATCATTTATAATTCTATCAATTCTTATCCAGGTAATTTGTCAGCATTCATTGCCAAACAAAGCCAGGCACAACCTTCTCAGACGTATGTCAGCTTGAATACCATTCCTGATAATACCAGCGAATATGGCCTCTTTGGAAGATTACAGTCCAAATTTCAGCTACAGGACACAACATTACTACTTCTATATAATAATCACACAACTCTTTCTGTAGTTAAGGAATTTTCTGTTCAGAGCCATGGTCCAGTACAATTGCAAGCTAGTGCATCAGTTCAGGACCTTATATTGCAGCAACCAAGCGATCGCATCAGAGGCTTACAGTGTTATCTTATTGCTTTATTAGTTAGTACTCCCTCCGTCCCATTTAAAGGTTCCTGTCCACTATTCACATGGTCAACTTAAATCATTCTTAATCTTTTGTTTTATATAGCAATTTTTTATTAAACTTGCATTTTTTTATCAGGCTTTGTAGCGGTTTTAATGTAGTTTCTGAATATGTAAATTTTATTTACTAAAAATAGTCAGAGTGTGAACAGGGATTAAGTTGCTTTATCGTCAGTCAAGCATCGTAAACCGTAATTGGAACCTTCTAATGGGACGGATGGAGTATTTATTATTAGTCCAGGATTCCTTTTGGTGAAGGGATTCCTTGTTAGTATCATACTCTGTATTAGTTAAATTGTTTCCTAAAAAACCATTTGCTGTCCTCTGTGTCATCATTAAACATCCCATGGCATTTTCGAATCAGAGCAAGTGTGTTATAACTTATACTCCCTCTGTCCCTAAAAGAAGTTCCATTTCGCTTATTGAGGGTCAACTTAAATCACTCTTAAACTCTTACTTTTTATATCAAAAATTTATAAAAGTTGAATTATTTTTTGCAGACTTTGTAGCGGGTTTAATGTAGTTTCTGAATATGTAAATTTTATTTACTAAAAATAATCCGAGTTTTCACAGGGATCATTTAACTTTATCGTCGGTCAACCTTCGTAATCCGCAATTGGAACAACATTTAGGGACGGAGGGAGTATTTATAAGGGTATCGTTGGAATTAAAAGATATGTTAACACGCGGAAACCAATTTACATATGTGGATGCACTGTATCGCTGTAAAATCGACTCATGTTTTTCCAGTCAAGTGAACAATTTCAGCTGAAAGCATCTCCAAATGATATCTTGTTAAACCTGTTTTATGAAGAGTGAATACTTTAACCATCTCCAGAGCACGTCAAGTGGGTGAATTTTGACCACTTATAGCTCCATTAAGACCAGATTTCGAGATACATTAAGACCTTGGTCATTTATATGGATGTAAAAAGTTATTACTCTAGTAAGATAAATAAGCTTAAATGTAATCATAGAAATAGGTCTTCTTCAAATTCAACAATGAACATTCTATTGTGAGATGTACATTCATATGAACGAGCCCCTATATCATAAGAAGAACTTCCAAAACAAAGACAAGGAATATCATCTAAAAAGAGACTATACTTCATCAGTTTCGCTAAAGTGCGGCAAAGGAGTTACATTATCTAGTATTTTTTTCAATTTTCAGAATCACGCCTCATGGAATATAAAGCACCTTCCAAATTATCAATTCACATGCTTTTAACATAGACAGGTTTCTTGAGGAATTCAACATGTTCAAGATTATGCATTCATGACAAGAAATGAGCACTACAAAGAATAAATAACACTCAATGCTTGAACTTAGATCTTACTGTTGTGATGGCATATGTAGGCAGTGACCAAGACAGGAACGACTGTGAAAAGTTTCCAAAATGATGCCTGATCAACAAGGTGAGGCATCAAGCGTGGCATTTGAATGCTACCATTTATCGTCTTAACAATTACCACACCAGCAGTTATCGCCACGAAAACAACAGCTAAAGCCACTGACAAGGCCGATGTATATCTCAAAGAATCTGAGAGAACCACATGAAAATATCATGACCAAATTACTCTTCATTATAGTTTCAGATTTTCTAATTCAAGACAGTTGAAGAAAATTAAGAGACTTGACAAAATAGCATGACCATCTCCATGAAAGTCACCACAATGATGTAATATTTCCTAACGACGAATTAAGTGTCTTTGCATCATATTTGTAGAACAGAAAGAAAAAGAGATTTCCTGACATCCCCACCAGAGGGAATGACCTGTGCACTTTATTTGTCAGAGCTGCATTTTCCCATTATCTTAACGGGACGTCGGGACTTTTAGCAGATACGAGAATCGCTAGATAAGAAAAATCATTCTCTCACTAACATAATTTGATGTACTTGGATTGCAGTATTAGCTACACCCTCCGTCCCAATTTGATGGTCCCGTTGCGGTACCAACGATAAATAAAACGGATCCGTGTCCGCACTCAAATTATTTGTAGCAAATAAAATTTACATATTCAAAAACTACATTAAAAGTTTTACAAAGTCACAAAAGAAAAAATCAAATTTCATAAAAATTTGATATATAAAGTAAGAGATTAAGAGTGATTTGTGTTGACCAAGTGAATAGGAATTGGGACCATTAAATTGGGACGGAGGTAGTATTTAGCTAAACAGCTAAACTCTGCTCTTTATGCAATTGACAGCTTAACCATACTCTTTTTAAGGTAAGTTTCTGTTGTAAGCATGTCACTCCTTTAGTTTGATTAGGATTAGGAAAATCTTCACATAATCAACTATCAGTAATTCATTAATTAGTTTTATTAGAAAAACCAGATATGGTTAGAGGTTAGTACTATTGTAGATTGACTTCCATAATATAACCCCTAACAACTTTCAGAAAATTGTTCATTGAAATAGAAAATGCATACTGATGGACTTAAAAAATTGCAAAAGTAAACCTATGCATCAAAAGTAAATGTCATCGTGCAATTATTACAACTTGGGGTCATCCAGTCAGGCAATCCCGATTTCATACCAGCACAAGAAGATGTGTATGTTGCAGATATTAATCTTAAGCAATTATTACAAAGAAATGCTATGAAGGATGAGGTACAAAATTTCCTCTACCTAGGATATGCAGTCACTTACCTACACGTTTGAATGAAATGAGTGGTGCGAAAACAAAGAGACTAGTAAAGAGCATCAAGGAAGAACGTCTCGTCCACCAATGTTGACCAAACCATTCTTCCATTACACCCAAATGGTGCACCCCGTCTGACCAAATCCCAGATAGGACATCTCCTGTAACCAAATACACATTCAGAAAAACTAAAGGAACAATTAATTTTCTTCAGTTGTAAATTGTAATGGGAGTATGGGACACTAAACATTAACATGGATGAAAAATAAGCAAAGAGAAACACAAGTTCTTGGGTAGATGAAAAGCTTATTTCTAACAAAAACATTAACTGAGCATTTCCAATTACTAAAAATGAGAACTAAATTCAAATTTAAACCAAATTCCTTTCTTGGAAATAATGGTTTCCATGTTCATTTAGTTCAGAACTTCAAAGATTTACATATTCTGTCCTAAAACTAGTTCAAATTTATTTATATTACAATTCGTAAAATTCAAATCATTAGAATGCACGTTTTTTCATAGTCCTCATATAAGTAACATACTCGTGGTCAGTGGCAGAGCCAAAAATAATATTGTAAGGAGGGCGGGCATGAAAAATCTATACTTGGGGGAGCAAAACTTAAAATTCCACTATAATTTTTAGACATATGTATGTACATCAGCATTTATTGAGAGGCTGAGGCCCCCTCCATCAGCACTTATTCTGTCCATGTTCATTTCGTGGTGGTGGACATGCACAGTATAATTGATCCCAAAATGTCTTTGTCAGCAAAACAGATTACAAATACCTCATATACTCGATTTAGAAGAAGAAGAAGAAAATGGAGGTGGAAAAAACTCAACTTTAAAGAAGTTTGATTAGAGTCGTTTAAAAAACACTGAAAACTGAGTCATTACTTAAGGGAAAGCCAAATGGGCATGTCCAGATCGAATTTACATAAAAGAAAAGGTCATTATTCTGGAAAATACAAACCAATGATGATCATGTACACGACCAGGGTTCCGACATTGTTAATCACAATGCAGACCTGCAAGAGAGTCCGCGCAAAGCCACCGAATGTGTCGCCAGCTAGACCAGAGTACGAGAGGGTCTTGGAGGCCTTACTGAATCTGAGTAAGATGTTAATCGACTTCTCCGTTAGAACCGAGGCGAGAACGATGACGATTAGACCCGGAATCGTGCCCAGCTGCTTGAGCGTCGCCGGAAGGGCCATGATTCCGGCTCCAACTATGGTGGTTGAGAGGTTGAAGACGGCTCCAGAGTATGAAGCGCCATCGAATCCCCCTTCAGCGTGCTCCAAATCGTCGGCCTTCTGGGCGAGGAGCGGGGCCGCCTTAGGGCTCCGGCGGTGCTTCCGGTCGCCAAATGGCATATTTGTGATTCCGTTAGATTAGAGGGGATTTTACAAAATTCGGACAACGAATCGTTCGTTACTTCGTTATATGGGAAAAATGTACACGTACGTATTTGTAGCCCCTCAGACAGGGCTACGACATTACGCGGGAACCCATTCCTATACATCATACTCCGTACGTATGTAGTAAATATAAATGACCTCCCATTCCTATAAATCATACTCTCCTATCGGGGTCATTCTTTTTTTTTATAAATGACTTGCCATTTTAGATAGGGTGGGAAAAACCAAACCGAAACCCGAAAACCGACCTTGACTCGATTCGGCCCGGCCCGGCCCGAATTATGATATCGGTCCGAGTTTTTCTTTTTGACTGATCCGAATAAAAAAAACCGGATCTAACCCGAAATTTCGGGTTGTTTAACGGGTCATAAAATCTATTACCCGGCCTGGACCGATAAAAACCCGAAAACAATTAACTATAATACTCCCTCCGTCCCGCTATGATTGTCTCGTTTTACCTTTTCGGTCTGTCCCACTAAGATTGTCTCATACCTTATTTGGTAAAGTTTGTGTAGTTCTAAATCATTCCTACTTTATTCTTACTTTATCAATTCAATACCAACCACATAAACCCACTTTTATTAATAACTGTGTCACCTTCTCTTGTCCTAAACTTAGGGGGACGGATGTAGTATAAATTCAATACTACCTCCGTCCCAGGGAGAAGTTCCCAATTTCCTTTTTTGGCAGTCCCAACAAGAAGTTCCCATTTCCCTAAATGGAAAGTTATCCTACATCAAAACAGTGTCAAACAGTGCAAAACAGTGCCAAACAGTGTCGAAACAGTGCCAAACAGTGTCGAAACAGTGCCAAACAGTAAAATTTACCCCCCAGTAACTTTATTTCCTTAATATGTGTGAAAGTCAACCCGGGAACTTCTCCCTGGGACGGAGGGAGTATAATATACCAATGTAATTTCGGAAAAATGGAAATAAATAATCCAACCTTTACCTGATCTGCTTTAAACGGTCCCTCTTTTTTATAATCCAAAAAAAATCCAACCTTTGTGTAATATCTTCTGTCTTCTGTCCTTGGTCGAATCTACAGTTGGCTAAAAAATTTAAATTTATAATCACCGGTTACCTCATTTTACGGGGGTGTCCTCAACACAGATTTTAAATGATTTTAAAGGATTGTAGATTCTATGGATTATAATTGACTTCTACATATTCCATGAGATTCATATGGAAATCTATGGATTTCTATTTAATAAAATTATATGGATTTTAATGGATTTAAATCGTTTTTAATATGCAATTCCATGGCAGATTTTAAAGTATTACAAAAGGTTGTTATGCAAAACGAAACTAGTAGCAAACAAAATTTAATGACCCATTCCCTATTGCGAAGGTGAAATACATATGCTACTACTATCTGCTATCATTCCCTGTTGCTATATAGGTTTGGTTGAGAAAAACACGGATGAAACTATACATAGAATCAAAAGATGATTGGCCTGCTTTATTGAAAGAACACAAAAGATGGAACTAGCTACGTGTAAGATGGAAGAACACAAAAGATGATTGGCCTGCTTTACATAGAAACACGGATGAAACTATGCATCAGTACCTTGCGAAGATGGAAGAACACAAAAGATGATTGGCCTGCTTTATTGAAAGAGATACGTGCAAAGGTTTTTAAATGCAGGGGAAATCCACGGAAATCCATGAGGGGTTGGCCATATTGTAGTTGAATTGATGATAGGAACCCATTAGTATAATAATACTAATAATAATAGAAGTATAATAAATAATTGTGATATTGTAGTAAAGGGTCCTGGGCTAGGTATTAGTTAATAATGGGCTGACCCATAAGTAAGTATAAATAGTAGGGAGGGGGAAATAAGAAGGCAGGCAAGTATTTTGTTGGGAACAGGCTGGGAGACTGGGCATCCCGAATCGTCCTTTGTATCGGTTACCTATTTTCAGTTCTTCTCTACTCAATAAACTCTTCGATCTGTTCTTACTTTGGATTTCTTAGAATTGTTACTGTTCTGAATTGAATTATCCCAGTGTTCTATCAATGGTATCAGAGCAGTAGCTCCTGAGGATCGGAAGTGAATTGCGACTTCAACAACATCTTCGTTTCTGTGGTGGATGGTCAGAACCAGAGCGAAGATGGAGATGCGTATGGATACGATAGAGCGAAGATTACTGGAGATGCAATCTGAGTTGAAGGAGGATAGGAGAGTCATGAGGGACGAACTGCGTACAACAATGAAGAACTTGGCGGCAAAGATCACCAGTCAGCTAGAGGCGATGAAAGAACAAATTCAGGAGAGAGGGAGATCGTGAGTGGTTACTACAAGGTCGAAGATGTCTTCACCAGTCGCTTTGCACCCTTCCAGTTCTCCGTCGCAACTTGTTCCTCATAGATCGTCATCGCGAGAGACGTCGTCTTGTGCACAGGTTTCTTCCAAGTCTCTAGCCGCTCCTCACCAGTACTCTCCGTCGCAAGTCGTTGCTCTGAGTTCGCAGGGGTTTCCACGAGCAACTTCAACAAATTCGTCAGATTTGCGGCAATCAGAAGTCTCCTGTTCGCTGGTTTCTTCTCAGTCGCGAACAGCTCCTTATAATTCGTCGCCAGATCCTCGACATCATACTTCTGCGTTCGCTTATCCTCACAGTTTGCAGACTTCCTCTCTATCTGTTGATCAGAGTTCTCAGGATGAGACACAATCAGCTTCTTCCAGTACGCCAGCTTCGTTGATATCAGATTCACTGTGTTCGCCCAATTTGCCTCAGTGGCAAGCAACTTCTCCCAGCTCGCACCTTATGTCACAAATCACTTCTCACTGTGCGCAGGTATCAACAGTCCGGCAGGAGTCTGTGAGGGAGCAGCAACCATCCTCTGAAGATAGGAATGCTCCTCTTGTCAGAGAAAATGCAGAGAAGTGCACTAAGGGTGACGATGAGAGCGAGGAAAAAGCATCAGATGCTGCTGAACCTAAAGGTAAACCCCATGCCATTTCCTCAGGAGGACCTTCAGCTTGCTGGAATGTTAAAGCTGAAGTTCTAAAGAAATGTACTGGTAGAACAGCTGAAGTTCGGATGGGTGTCCTTGAAAAGGTTAAAACTGGTTTGCTCAGTGATCCCTTTAGAGATGAAACTCCTCAGATTATTTCTGTTTTATGGAAGATACTGCTGGATTATGATGAAGATGCTCATAAGAAAATGAGTGTTGTTTTCTGTGAGGTAGCAGGTTGTGCCTTATCCTCGATATGTTCTGAAAGAATCAAACTCATGGCTGAGAGACTCAGAGACCAGTATCTTCTTGTGAAAAGATATACCTTGGAGAGATCAGATGCTTTTGAACTTGTTCAAGGTCTTGTCCAAAGTGAGGTCATTTCTCTTGAAAAGATGTTGCAACAAAAGCAAAGGATACAACAGGAAACACAGATGCTGGAAGATTTTAACCTCTGCAACATGGTGCAGCAGGATGCAAAACAGTCCTTGCCTTTGCTCTCTCTTGCTATGCTCTTTCTGGTGATGTTGAAGGTTCATATCAGGAAGCTAGGGGTACACAAAGCAGTAAGATACTGGGAAGGAAGAGGGTCCAGGATGAAAATGAAGTTCAAGATCAAGGCTGTGTCCTATCACCCACCTTGAGGACAAGGTGGTTTTTCAAGGGGGGAGATATGATAGGAACCCATTAGTATAATAATACTAATAATAATAGAAGTATAATAAATAATTGTGATATTGTAGTAAAGGGTCCTGGGCTAGGTATTAGTTAATATTGGGCTGACCCATAAGTAAGTATAAATAGTAGGGAGGGGGAAATAAGAAGGCAGGCAAGTATTTTGTTGGGAACAGGCTGGGAGACTGGGCATCTCGAATCGTCCTTTGTATCGGTTACCTATTTTCAGTTCTTCTCTACTCAATAAACTCTTCGATCTGTTCTTACTTTGGATTTCTTAGAATTGTTACTGTTCTGAATTGAATTCTCCCAGTGTTCTATCAATTGAGTTGTTCAGTTTTTTGGCTTAAAAGTCCATCCAAATCTTTTAAAATCCATTAAAATCAATAACAAGTAAAATCCATGGAATGTTTGAGGATACCTAGATTTTAATAGATTCTATATAAATCTAAATTGGGGATACCTAGATTTTGATGGAATTCTAAACTCCATTAAAATCCATAATGAGGACACCCCCCTAAGGGGTGAAGAAAGAAGGATGCGCAGAAGGATATAGAATAATTGAGGACTGCTCAGGTCCCTCCGGAGGGACGGGAGGGACCGTCCGAACTTTACTGTTTGGGGCGGTTCCCGGTGGAATTTTTTGATGAAATTTTTTGAGCATGTTCCTCATCAAGTCTAGTTTGTCCATACCAAATTTCAGCTCAAAATTCGACCGGGAAGGCAGTCAAATAAATTCTTGAAGCTTACTGCACATTCTGCGCATATATAAAGTGCAGTAAGTTTCAAGAATTTATTTGACTGTCTTCCCGGTCGAATTTTGAGCTGAAATTTGGTATGGACAAACTAGACTTGATGAGGAACATGCTCAAAAAATTTCATCAAAAAATTCCACCAGGAACCGCCCCAAACAGTAAAGTTCGGACGGTCCCTCCCGTCCCTCCGGAGGGACCTGAGCAGTCCTCAATTATTCTATATCCTTCTGCGCATCCTTCTTTCTTCATCGTTTCTATTTTCTTTCTCGCAGGCTTCTTCATTCACAGCGATTCCTGGCATCTTCCTTCTTTCTGAGTTCGTCCGTGGTAGACCTACTCTCTGTTGACGTCGATGAGTCATGTACGAAGAATAAATTCAGAAGCTTAGGGGTCCTCTTTGACGAAATCAAGCGCCGGGACAAAGTCAAGCATGAATTGTCATCACAACATCGATTACATTTTGAGGGTGGTTAAAAATGGGGAAAATGCCATAAGGGAAGTTTCGTGGTTGCTCTTTATGGCCTGTAAGTTTTATTTATATTTTTGTTTTTCTAAGTTTTGATTATTTATCTTCATTGATGCTCTTACATACTAGATAAAATTAGGGTTCATGTTGAGTTTCATTTTGA